AATTATCTTCAAGCAAACTGATTTAAAAAGTAGCATGTGTGTATAAAATGTACAAATCAATGCTATTCTAATACTTTGCTTTTAGGATTATTAATTATATAATATGACATTCAACTAGTGTATAAATGATTCCTTTAGAAAATTCAGTTTTATTTTAATCACTCAAAATTATACCTTTTTAGAATATCACTATCTTAAAAGGATTTATTTAGAGAAACTGCTTTTAGAAAATGTTATATTATCTTTTCAAACAAATTTAAGAATCAGCTTGACTTATAAAACTGATGATAACCTTCAGAATATTTATTATATGTTCATTGTAAGATATAGATTATACTTGATCCTATCCATTACTTGAGAAAGATTTCTGTGATAAATCCTTTTACTTGATCCATTATTAGTCTCCCAAACCAACTTAGAAACAAAAGTCCCCAATGGAACTGTTATTAAACAAGAACTTGATTCTATAATGGAGTAGAGACACTTGTCACCACAGATCATGATAAAACTTAAGAAAATTAGTCTGGAGTCTCTCTTTTTATCACCAGGTTACCAATAATTTGTTTTGTCACTATAGTTATGGTTTTATCCATATTGTCAAAGTTATGACCAAGCTGAATAGAAATATTTAAGCCCCATAAGTTTTACAGAATTCTGAATCATGAAGCTCAAAGACTGTTTCTCAAATTCTAAAGGTATGTGCCAACAGTTCCAAATATAGATATAAATCCTAGTAGTCACCAGAATTAACTTTATCATGTTTGGCACTTCCCTTGTAAGATCCCATTTCAAATGTAAGGGTCTTAAAATAAGCCTTGAATTTAAGGTTGTATCACAGTTCCTTTTTAGTAATCTAACTGGGGAACTCTTATATGTAGTCCACATCTTATTTTGATTTCTACAGCTTAATCCTGCAAGACTTTTATGTTTGTATTAATATATTCCATGAAGTATTTATTGACAATATGACTAGTGTCCACCTCAAGACATATGTAATGATCACATTTTGATTATCTCTTAGGCCCCAGTTACACAGAACATTATAATCAGAAATGTATCAGAGCTATCCAGTGCCATAACACTGGTTTCAATTAATTGCATGTACATTACATAAAAATCTGGCTTACAGCCAACAGATGGATGAGAAAGCAATAAAAGCAAGAGCAGCTGAAGATGAACACAAATACACACGGAAAATAAGACATCCTTTAAAAAAATAAATATGTACCAGGATTGAAACAGGGTATCATGGAAAGTGATCTGAAGTCACTCAAGTCCTGAGATGGTTTGTGGTTTAGGCATTTTTTTTTAATTGGCCACCAACTCTTCACTGTGGTCTCCTTTCCTAGTTCACTGCTAGACTTTGAGAATGATGCAACTACAGCGGAAGGCTTCAGTGCTCTGAGGAGACAAAAGAACCAAGACCAACTCAGGCTAACAAGTGACTGCCTCAGACAGACTGAAAAATTCAGGCCAGCTGTTTTGCATATGTTTGACACTGACTGGCTTTGAGATTACAAATATGACTTTCTGCTCCCAACAAAATGTAAGTAAAAACTGGCTTTTTTTAAAAACAGAGCATTAGAAAGCTTTCATACTATGCATGGATTTACTACAAAAGCTGAGGCAAGCACACACACCGTAAGGGGGAAATTGACCCCAATTGATAGTTGGCTGAAAAAAACAAAATAGGCAAACCAAATAATCTGAAAATAGGGTTTGTCATGGAAACAGCATATTAATGGGACCATATTCCCAGTAGCTTTATGGTTTTTCAGGCAAGTCTTATTTTGCCATCACTGTTACAAGAAACAAAAGAATACACTCGCTTTTTTATATGCTACACAATTTAAAAGTTGTTTTCTAAAAACAAAGCCTGGTGATGACTTAAAAATGTCTTTTAAAATTGCTTAAAGCTAGCATTATAAAACCTGTCTGCATTAAATTTATAGTTACATCATTTTAAGGACACCCATAATAAGAATGCTTTATATTTATTATTTGGATATAGACTAATAATCTTAAATTTTTTTCCAAAAATTATCTGTTGAATTATCTAGTGAGAAGATATTTTTAATTTAGCCTAAGCATTGTTATTTTTTGTGTGCTCATACAATAAAACCTTCTTCAATATCATCTAATACTAGATTAATGTAACAAAAGTAAAAGAAACATAAAGTTGCACCTTGGTGATTAAAATTGAATGTTCTTATTTTCAGTTAGATTTAATTTTTTCATCTGCCTTAAAATGATGATGATGACTTATGTGACAACTGCCTTACAACCATGAAACTAACTCTATTGTATTAAAGGTCTTCATTTCAGCCCCTTGTCATTTTATCACAAAATGTTTTCATGGGAAAATTTAATATAGGTATTTTTAGTGTATAAAGGGATAAGAGTCTTATTTTTCAAAGGTATTTGAGGTTTTCCATCTGGCATTCTCCTTTTCTCATAACCTTATTTCCATAGTGTAAAATATATAAGTAAACTTTGTATCTTTAATTTATAAAAATTAGCGTGTATATTTTATACATAGACATAGATATATGCTTATATACACTCTACATATTATACATTTATATAAATTCTAAGAGTAAACCAACCAGATAATTCCTCTAGGGCAAGTTCTTTGAACAATATAAAAATGGGTCTTCAGAAACAAACAGCAAAACAGCCTTATCCACCTAACTGCTGCTTAAAATGCTTATAAACACACAGTCAGTTAACCATTTATTGATTGCCTGTTTATGGTTTTGGAATATCCAAATATAAGATAATACCTCATAAAAATTGTGACAAAGATGATGGTTGATGATTTAAAAATCAACCTCCATATTACAGAAAGTTATGTAAATTTATTCTTTACAGAAAAAAAGCTATAGTAAAATTAGAGTTTTCTTTTTAATAATCTTCTCTAGGTAAGGAAATAATTTGCAAACTTCTGTCATATTGTTACTGTCATGGAAATAGATCTTTTCTAGGGACCTCACATCATCAATCACTACAATGGAAGTCAGTTAATTTTTTGGAAAGACTGGTCTGAAGGTTTAAAGATAGACTTTTTCATTGAATTCCTGAATTTTTATATACTGTGGGTTTGGCTACAAACACTATAAAATGTAAAGACAGCTAGTGCATAGTGCAGACAGTTTCAGCTCTGTTATTTTCAGGCGCAAAAACCATAGAATTTTGTACAAAACTTTGATTTTTTTATTTGTGAAATTAAAAATATGGTATTATATATATATATATAAACTTCTATTCCTCTATAAATATAGATGATTTTGTGATAGTGAACAGAATAAATGCATACCAAATTCAACGAGCATTGTCATTTTAGGGTATGACAGACATAGATAGATTTATGTCCTAAGTACGGGCATTTTGATAAAACTCTTAAAAGTTTAAAACAATACAATCAGGAAGATTGCTTTTCTCCTCTTTTTCACAGAGAATTAAAGTGAATATTTTTCAATGGCTTTGAAAGGTTACATTGGGCACAGTTCTGTAAATCCAAAAAGGAACACAGGATTTAGTGCAGTAGACCTGCAGCACACATTCTCCCTTTAGCATGCATGCCCATATTTTGTTTATTTCGGTGGCTAATCCCATCAATTATTCCACCTCCTTTACTTCCTGGAATCTCCCCAGGTTATTATTAGTGATGTGGATTGTTCCTCCCTCAGAATGTGTTGTTGAATAGTGATCATAATAATATGTTACAATTGTACAAGTGTACAATGTACATTTTAAAGTTTCTGACATATGTCTAATTATTATTTGATTGAAAATAAGAAAGTACCACTTCCTTTTGAGGACATCCATTACACTGAAATCTCCTTCAAGTTTTCATATTCAGTTTACCGTCTTGCTCTCCTGTTAAAGAAAGCAAAGATCATCAGCTCCTTAACAAAGCTTTCCAGGTGACCTAATGTTTCCATTTTTCATTAAGGTAAATCTAAACACGGGTGCTCTCAATCTTAAGAGGCAGTTTGCCAGGCATCCGTATACAATTAGAATGAGCGTTTTATAACCCTATCTTCAGTCTCTCCCAACCCACACAAAGCTCCATGCCTCTTCCCCAAATCTCAGTAACCACATCTTTCCATGACGCTGGCCAAACCCATACCAGGTTTTAGACGCTAGAGAATGAAATGAGCTCATCCACCAAAAATGAGACTTAAAAAAGTTTGGCATTGGTTACCCCACTCACCCTCTAACCAACTTGGTTGGAAGGAGGGAGTGTCTGGGCATTGGAGGCCTGAGCCAGGGAGCCGGGGGCTGCCCCTGCCCACATCCGTGGGCCTCCTAGAAGCCGGGGAAGTTCTGGACAGTGAAAATTTCAGCTTCGAATAGTCTAAGGGCCCGTCTTGGCAATCTGGCTCCGGACAAGGGCAGACTTGGGATCGGCCGGGGCCCACCTTCCGATGTGGAAGCTTTGTGATTTCGGTACCTGAAAGAGTCCCGACCCCAGCAAGGAAGGGGAGGGAGGGGGCAGAAAGCGGAGCGGGGAAGAGACCCAGGAAGCGCGGCCCAGGCGCTCCCCACCCGCTGCAGGGAGGGGCGGGCCAGCACTCGCAGAAGCTCCCAGCGGTGCGCTGTGGTTTTCTCTCTGTGCTGCTCTGAAAAGGGCTAGAAGGAAAAATGGTCAAACCGCCCGAAATAATTAAAATTAAACAAACAAACAAGGAGAGTAAAAGAAAAACGCGTGAACGGTCATTTAAATACAAATATACTTACAAAAATCTTACACAGGCTATTTACAAGTCATAAAAGCGTACAGTCCTGGTACCAGAGCAAGAAAGGTCTGTTCATCCCCCCCGCCTCTGGCAGTCGGGCCCTCGGGTCCCTGCGCCCCCGGGAACAAAAGCTTTTGCAGGAGCCTTGTTAAAAGCAGTGAATGGCTAGGGAGAGGAGCCAGACTTGGCCAGGATTCCATAGGGCCAAGGGGTGGCCGGGACCAGGCCGAGGGCTGGAGACGGGCTGAGTCCCGGGTCTCAGACGGTGGTCTCCCCCTGTTTGCTGTTGGTAAGCCGCGTGTAGAACTTCCTCCAGGAGTTGAGGGTCTTGCCAGACCAGATCCAGAAGCCTGACGTGATGCCCACGATGAGGGTCATAAGGTACTTGATCATGAAGACGGTGAAGTCGGGGCTCATGGGCGGGTGCGGCGGGGCGCCGCCCGCCTGGAGGTGGGGGCAGGGGATGGCGTAGCTCTTGCAGCTCTGGGCCACCCAGCTGCGCTCCCACTGGTCCCGGAAGGCCTGCTCGTAGAAGTAGCAGGCGATGACGATAGTGGCCGGCACGGTGTAGAGCACGCTGAAGACGCCGATGCGCACCATCAGCTTCTCCAGCTTTTCCGTCTTGGTGCCGTCGTGCTTCATGATGGTGCGGATGCGGAAGAGGGACACGAAGCCGGCCAGCAGGAAGGACGTGCCGATGAACAGGTACACGAAGAGGGGGGCCAGCACGAAGCCGCGCAGGGCGTCCACGTTGTTGAGCCCCACGAAACACACCCCGCTCAGCACGTCGCCGTCCACCTGGCCCAGCGCCAGAATGGTGATGGTCTTGATGGCCGGCACGGCCCAGGCGGCCAGGTGAAAATACTGCGAGTTCGCCTCGATAGCCTCGTGGCCCCACTTCATGCCGGCCGCCAGGAACCAGGTGAGCGACAGGATCACCCACCAGATGGAGCTGGCCATGCTGAAGAAGTAGAGCATCATGAAGAGGATGGTGCAGCCCTCCTTCTTGGTGCCCTGCGCCACGGTGCGCGCCCCGTCCTCCGCGAACTTGTCGTTACACACCACGCGGTCCTCCAGCAGGAAGCCGGCGATGTAGGCCACGGCCACCGCCGTGTAGCAGCCCGACAGGAAGATGATGGGCCGCTCAGGGTAGCTGAAGCGCCGCATGTCCACCAGGTAGGTGAGCACGGTGAAGAGCGTGGAGGCGCAGCACAGCACCGACCAGATGCCGATCCAGGTGCGCGAGAAGCGCAGCTCCTCCGGCCCGAAGTACATGAGCCCGTACACCTTGGTCGGCTCGCAGGGGGCGCCGCAGTCCTTCTCTCCCAGGAAGTGGTAGTTGAGGTAGGAGGGCACCTTGAGGGCGCGCGGGCACGAGAACTTGCCTCGCTCCGACGCGCCGGCGCCCCCCGCGAAGCCGCCGCCCCGGTGCCCTCCGCCGCCGTGCTGGGGGTTGCTAGTCCAGAACTCGGGCAGCAGCGAGGGCGTCGGGGTGCCCTTGTCCGACGTGTTCTGGCCCACGCACAGCTCGCCGGCGCCGTGCACCGGGAACTTCTCGCACTTGAGCGTGTCGGGCCACTGGAAGCCGAACTTGTTCATGAGCGCCTCGCAGCCCTGGCGCGCGCGCTCGCAGAGCGAGCGGCAGGGCGGCAGCGCCTGCTCCAGCACCGTGCACACGGGCGCGTACATGGAGCACAGGAAAAACTTGAGCTCGGCGGAGCACTGCACCTTCACCAGCGGGTAGAACTGGTGCACCTCGAGGCCCGCGTCCTCCTGGTTCGTGTGGCCCAGCAGGTTGGGCATGATGGTCTGATTGTACGCGATGTCGGTGCACAGCGGGATGGAAATGGGCTGGCAGTAACCGTGGTCCGGTATAGAGATGCCCCGCTCGCCGTTGTACTGCTGCCCGCTCTGCTGTTGCTGAGGCGGCGGGGGCTGCTGCCCCGGCCCGGGCCCCTGGCCGGCCGCCTGGGCCCGGACCCCCAGCAGCAGCGGAGCCTCCAGCAGCCAAAGCAGTAGTAGTAACCGGCTTGCCCAGCGCCGGGAGTCAGCCCGGGGGCGGCGGCGGCTGCCCGCGTCCCCGCTCCCCTCCGCCGCGGGTACAGCGCGGAGCGCCCCGGCATAAACTTCCCAGCTCGTGCCGCCGCCCCCGGCGGCTCGGGACTTCTTAGGCGCCTCCTCCTCAGCCATACTTTCTCGGCTCCTTTCTTGGCGCCGCTCGGCTGAGGCTGGCTGTGGCGCGGCTGGAGGCTGCTCCCCCTGCGGTCGGGGCGATCTCCTCCCCGCCGGTGCCCTCCGTCGAGCCCGAGCCGTGCTCGGCCCGCTCCCCCGGCTCCCGCTCCGCGTCCCGCAGCCGCCGCCGCCGCGGAAACTTGCGATTCATGAAGCGCGGGGCTGCGGGGAGAGCCCGGGTGGCTCGGGCGCGCCGAGGGTCGCGTCCCGCCTTCCTGGCCCTCGGCTAGCTGGCTCCTGGCAAGCGGCGCCGCGCTAGTGGCGGCTGCCGGGCAGAGCGCGCAACTCTCGGCAACCCAGCAGCCTCGGCTCCCCCCTGAGCCCCCGCCTCCTCCTCCGCCGCCGCCGCCTGACCATTTGTGTCAATCCCTCAACTCGCCCGCTCTCCTCTCCCTCGCTCGCCCTCCGACCGGTTTCCAGGCGCCCCGCAGTCTGTCTTTCACCAGGAGGGAGGAGCCTTGAAACCGACGCAGAACTGGAGGCTCAGGGACCGTCGCCCAATCGCTGCACTGGCTTCCCGGCGCAAAGGGCGCCCGCCGCCTGCTTCCCAGAGCGAAAGTCGGCGGCGGGCGGGAGAAGGTGGAGGCGGGAGGGGGAGCGGTGGCCGAGGCACTGCTCGGGCACAAAGAGTGGGTTTGCTATGAAGCGGGACAGGCTTGGTTGCTTTTGCTTTTGCGGAAGAAAGGGCGAGGACAAGTAGGAGAATGGTCCCATATGCTGCTGGAGATAATGAATAGGAGTCGGCAGACCGCGCGATTTAGCTTTTCTTTTCTTTTATCCATTTTCGTGTTTAAAAATCCTGCTCTGAACGCTGGTTACAAACAGCAGACCGAGCGCTTCGATGAGAACAGATTCCTTTGACTTAAGGAACGAACGGCTTCCTTCGAGTTTGTATCTGTCGAGGTTTTATTTAAAATATTACTCTCAAATCCTAGAGCTCTCAGGCTGGGCTTGGCGGGATTCGGGCGCGCCATTTCCCCCAAGGAGAAGTTCGCCGGATCGCCGTCAGATGAAGAAAAACCACCACGACCAAACACAAACTTCGATAGCATTTAAAAAGTAAAGCCAGATCTACAGTCCGCTGTTATTATCTTTTCTGTAGTTAAAAAAAAAAAAAAACACTCCTTTTTTTCTCCTCTTTATCAATCCAGAAACAGAAGCAAGGGGAAACTACCCATTAAATATTTCGAGAGAAAAACTTGAGCGCCCGACTAGTCTCTGAGGGAGGAGAGAGTCCTGGATGCCTGAGACTCCAGAGGGGCTTCAGGGCAGAGCTGGGCTTGGGGGCAGCCTGGACCCTGGGGAGCTTCAGCGAGGCTTCCAGAGGCCGGTACGCCCGCGGCTCTGGGGGAGGCGTGCAAGTGTCAGACCTGGGCTGGGCCAGTTAGGTTGCGCTGCAGAGTGGACTTCCACTCAGATGCAGAACAGCGGGATGCCAGTTCAAAAAACAAAACAATTCAGCCCACTTACATCCTTGTTGTTGTTTTCCTGTAAGCTATTTTCAAATAATGGTCTAACCAGTGACTCAGTTTTATCAATAAAATGCCACCGTATTATTAATTCTACCTAGGATTTGTGGGCCTATGATTAGACTGTCTCTTGGGATCCTTTTCTACAATTATTTTCTGTCTTTTGTTTATCCATTCATTTGTTTAATAAATACTTACCAAGCTCCTATTGTCCTAGAAGCACTGTTAGGTAGTAGAATACAGAGATAAGGAAGACCTGGCCTAGCCTTACAGGCAGCAGAATGCAGCAGGGCACAGAGGTGAGGATCAGTTCTCTTAATGCACATCCCTAAGCTGAAGGAGGGCTTCCTGGTGACTCAGATGGTAAAGAATCTGCCTGCAATGCAGGAGACCTGGGTTCCATCCCTGGGTGGGGAAGATCCCCTGGAGGAGGGCATGGCAACCCACTCCCAATATTCTTGCTGGGAGAAATCCATGAACAGAGGGGCCTGGGGGTGGGAGTGGGGGTGGTGGGCTACAGTCCATGAGGTCGCAAAGAGTCAGACACGAGTGAGCAACTGAACACACACAAGCTCAAGGAACACAGGAGAGCAGCCAGCCAGTGGAAAAGGTGGGGAATCTGATGGTGAAGTGGATGGAAGATGCGAAAGACAGGAGCTCCAAAGTACTTAAATTGCCAAAGGGGGAGACTGGGTGGGTGTGGCTGAGATATTAATGGCAGGAGAGAATTTTAGCCCATACTCTAGGCAAAGCCATGGTTTTTCCTCTGCTCATGTATGGATGTGAGAGTTGGACTATAAAGAAAGCTGAGTGCTGAAGAATTGATGCTTTTGAACTGTGGTATTGGAGAAGACTCTTGAGAGTCCCTTGGACAGCAAGGGGACCCAACAAGTCCATCCTAAAGGAAATCAGTCCTGAATATTCATTGGACTGATGCTGAGGCTGAAACTCCAATGCTTTGGTCACCTGATGCAAAGAACTGACTCATTTGAAAAGACCCTGATGCTGGGAAAGATTGAAGGTGGGAGGAGAAAGGGATGACAGAGGATGAGATGGTTGGATGGCATCACCAACTCAATGGACATGAGTCTGAGTAAACTCCAGGAGTAGGTGATGGACAGGGAGGCCTGGCGTGCTGCAGTCTGTGGTCACGAAGAGTCAGACATGACTGAGACGCTGAACTGAACTGAGCTGAAAACATTTGGGCTAAATTATACAGACAGTAGGGAGCTGTGGAGGGTGACTTCCCCACATGAGCTGGGAGTGGCTTTAGGGGTGGCTGAACAATATTGTTATAATTCATATCTGTTTGATATGTTAAATTCAACTAAAATATAGCCTTTTCTTTTTTAAGCAGCAGTGCTCCTCAAAGTGTGATCTCCTAACTAGCAGCAGCCCTTGGGAACTTGTTAAAAATTCAAATTCTCTTGCCCCACCCAGGCCTTCCTGAGTCTGACATCCAGGTGAGTCTGATGCTAGAGAATAACTGTTGTGTCCTTTTCTATACCGAACATTATTAAGCATTTGATGTCAACTCCATTTTAAAATTGTCATAGTAGTTGATACTAAATGGTAATTTATATTTGGCCTGATCATTTGCTGTCTAATCAATTTGGTCACCAGATCTGCACAATTGAATTGATCATCTAATTCCTGAGAATGGATCAGACCACCAACCTGCCAAGAGTCAAGATGACTGAACATAAAGCCCTCATTCATAAATCATTTGCTAATAAATCATGAAGCAGGAAACTCAACTGGAAGTAAAATTATTCATTCTCATATAATGCATAGGATGGATCTTAAAAGATAATTCTATCTGGATAACATTCCCACTGAAAAAAAGTTCAATTCATCAATATTCACAAGTACTCTTAAGAGCCCCAGAGTTTTTCAGAGGTTTGCAGTGATTCAACTGGTGGCTTCAGGGTGACTGTGGAAGAGGGAACCTGGGGCACAATGTCATTGAGAAGCTTAAACATTAGCCTAGACAGTACTTCCCTGGTCGTCCAGTGGTAAGGAATCTGCCTTGCAACTCTGGTTTGATCCCTGATCGGGGATTAGATCCCACATGAGGCAGAGCAGCTAAGCCCCCTTGCCATAACTCAAGTTATTACAGGATGATCCTGTAATAAATAAATAAATAAATGAATATTTAAAGAAACAAAAAACCTTTAGTCTAGATGTAAAGGGTGGCTCAGTGGTAAAGAACCAGCCTGCCAATGCAGGAGACACAGAGACGCAGGTTCAATCCCTGGGTCGGGAAGATCCCATGGAGTAAGAAATGGCAACTCACTCCAGTATTCTTGCCTGGGAAATCCCATGGACAGAGGAGGGGCAGGCTACAGTCCAGGGGGTCACAAAGAGTCAGATATGACTTAGCAACTAAACAACGAAAGGACACTACTTAAGGTGAGTGTCACTTGTACTGCATACTGACAGGGCCCTGTGAATTTCATCATCACGTAAGTTGGTGTCTCTAAAGATTGTGCTGTTGTGTCTTTGCCTATTAAAATATTTTATGTATTTTATGTATTTGTCTCAGATACATATTTTTTTATTTTTCAAATATTCATGGATATGGTAAATTCTTAAAGTTCATATTTGTCTTAAACCATTTCTGGATTTCTAGTATTTTTAAAGGAAAATGCAACAGGTATCATATGTGAATGAGAGTGTGTGTTGGCAATAATTCATGAAAAATGATATTGAACAGGAGGTTGGGAAGCACAGGTGCTCTCTGAGGTCCTTTGAGCACTCAGAGTTCATAGCCGTTCATTTTATCCCCCAGCATCCCATTCCACAAGTCTCCCAGGGACCCTTTTTCTCTAGCTTCCTGCCCTGGTGCTCTATCTTCTGCTGATAGCATCCCATGCTTAGAAACTTTATCAAGCCATGTTTCTTCTGCCACTCCTCTCGTGTAAAGATGTCTCTGTCTTATATTCTACTCTCTCAAGGTCATTCTTGGTGACCAAGCTTGGGAAAAATGAATTTATTCTACTATATTGCTTACCAAGAAGCACCACATGCATTAAACATCCACCGTCACTCCAAGTGCTTCCTCTTCTCCCCAGGGGGGTGGGCCATGGGGATTTTGGCAGAATACAGTTCTGTTCCCCAGAGTACTGCTTTGAAAGTTGTTCTGTTGACATTCTTTACTTTCTTTTTTTTTAGTTGGAGGAAAATTGCTTTGCAATGTTTTGTTGGTTTCCGCCGCACAGCAGTGTGAATCAGCTGTAAGTATACATGTATCCCCTCTCTCTCCAGCCTCCCTCCCCTCCGCCCATCCTGTCCCTAGAGGGTCAGGTCATCACAGAGCGCCAGACTGGGCTCCATGTGCTACAAGCAACTTCCCACCAGTTACCTGTGTTACACGTGGTAGTGTACATATGTTGATCCTACTTTCTCCATTCATCCTAGCCTCTCCTTTTGAAATTCTTGAGCCTGTTTTATCTTCCACTGGACAGGGAAGTTTACTGGAGAGGAGGCTCAGAACAGCAGTAAGAGTTAAAAAGAAAAAAAGTCATTTTTTTCCAGATCATGAAACTGGAAGAAACTAAAAATATTGTCTCGGAACTAGTTAATTTTCTCTAGTTTATAGTTAAGAATACCAGAAATGTTAAAGGAAGAGCTACAGGGTAAATGGCCTTGTTTGGCTTAAATTTCATTAGACACTTATTTTAACACTTTCTATTCTTTTAGGGCTTTCCAGATGGCACTAGTGGTAAATAACCTGCCTGCCACTGCAGGAGACAGAGGCGACGTGAGCTTGAGCCCTGGATACGAAAGATCTCCTGGAGGAGGGCATGGTAACACACTCCAGTATCCTTGCCTGGAGAATCCCATGGGCAGAGCCTGGCGGGCTACAATCCATAGGGTCGCAGAGTTAGACACAACCGAGCGACTTAGCATGCATGTTCTTTTAAGTAGCTCTCATTCTTTGTATTTCTTATTAAAAATATTCATTGGTGTATAATTACTTTATGATGCTGTGTTAGTTTCTGCTGGACAGAGAAGTGAATCAGTTCTGTGCATACAGAGATCCCCCCCCTCTTGGCTGTCCCTGCCCCAGCCATCCCACCCCCAGGTGGTCACAGAGGGAGGAGCTGGACTCCCTGAGCTATAGGCTGCTTCCCGTTAGCTGTTCTGCGCGTGGTCGTGCGTGTATGTCAGTGCTGCTCTTTCATTGTCCCACCCTCCCCTTATCACTGTGCCCACAAGTCTGTTCTCAGCATCTGCATCTGTAGAAGTTCTCTCTCAATGGCTTATCTAAAAAAGAAATCATCCCAAGAGTTACCTTCCAAAGTTTTTTTTTTTAAACACCTAGATTGTCTATTTATTTTTATACCAGCATGTTATTTCATTTATCAAACCTACATGATACAGAGGAAGCCCTTAAAAGCAAACAATTCAGGATCTTAACCAAGAACAGTTAGTGTTATGGAAGGTCTTTTGGGGAGGTGAAGGCCGTGGATAATAAAATGTTAGAGGGAAAATATGAGCAGTGTATCTTGACTTTAAATATATTATTTTCTCATATACAGTGGAAGGGTTTGAGATCCGGATAAAAATTACTAAGTATGAACTACTATGAACTTGATAATAAAAATATTTCAATCAGGTATAAACTATAAACATAACCCAATTCCTCCTTGATACTGATTCTTCAAGCATTGGATTCAGTCAAACTTTCTTTCTTTTTTTTTTTTAAACAAATCCTTGTGTCCGGGGCTGAGTTTTCAGGACATTGCAGCAAGGGAGCTGCTCTGCTACGCAGGAAACCCTGACCCAGAAGCAGGTCATCTAGGAATGGTTTAGTGCCAGGTTCCCCATGAACATGAGTGTGTGATGGGCGAAGGCGCAGCTGCCTTTGAGGTGACTCCCAGGACAAAGGGCTTTCTGAACCGCCAAGGTCCTTATGCTTGTGAGGAAGCCTTGGAGAACCAGTCAGCTTTTCTTATATCAAAGATGTTGTTTTATCAGCCCTTTCCCAAATCTTTAGAAGTTTCTCCAGACTGCTTATATCAGGTTGAATGTGGATAGCTACCAGTGCCAATTACAGTCGGGTGCACATGGACACACCAGTTGCTCCAAGTGCAATCAGGCAGAAGACCTTGAGCTTTTAGGCCAGTTGGTTGTTGCTGGCTTGTGGGTGGCAGGATTGTGTTGTCTTTGTTGAACACTGGAGATTATAACACAGGTTAAGCTCTTATTTTTGAGCTCCTACCACATGTATTTGGCATTGTTTTTCTTAATATACACTATGTACACTTAAACTAAGATCATGGCATCTGGTCCCATCACCTCATGGCAAATAGAAGGGGAAAAAGTGGAAGCAGTGACAGATTTTATTTTCTTGCCCCAAAATCAATGCAGACAATGACTGCAGCCATGAAATTAAAAGATGCTTGCTCCTTGAAAGGAAAGCTATGACAGACCTAGACAGCATATTAAACAGTAGAGAGATCACTTTGCCAACAAATCTATGGTTTTTCCAGTAGTTATGTATGGATGTGAAAGTTGGACTATAAAGAAGGCTGGCTGCTGAAGAATTGATGCTTTCAAACTGTGGTGTTGGAGAAGAGTCCCTTGGACAGCAAGGAGATAAACCAGTCAATTCTAAAAGAAGTCAACCCTGAATATTGATTGAAAAGACTGATGCTGAAGCTGAAGCTCCAGTACTTTGGCCACCTGATCTGAAGAGCCACCTCCTTGGAGAAGACCCTAATGCTGGGAAAGGTTGAGGGCAGGAGGAGAAGGGGGTGGCAGAGGGTGAGATGGTTGGATGACATCATGGACTCAATGGGCACGAGTCTGAGCAAACTCCTCTGGGAGATCGTGGAGGACAGAGGAGCCTGGTAGTCCATGGGGTAGTGAAGAGTCAGACATGACTTAGTGACTAAACAACAACACAACAACACTTAAACTTTACTACTTTCTAAAGTATGTAGTAATTATTATCTGCTTTTAATAGATGAAGAATCTAAGGCTCAAAGCAGTTAAGTAATTTGTTCAAGGTCCCATAGCCAAGAAGTGCCAGAGTAGGCCTTGTGTGTAACCAGTTCCATGAATTTCCATTGGTAACGTTATGTGAACATGTCCTCTTCTAAAAATTATAGAAGAAAATGTGGTTTCTGGTGGTCATGGTGATTCCTCAATATTCAACATAGTCTTTTATACCAGAATCTGGTTGCATTAATTCTGGGACTCACTGAAGAGTTGTATCAGGATTTCCTAATTTGTTTCTGTGAAATATAACATCCTCCCCCAAAGACGTTCTGTGAAAAAAAAAAACCTTCAACTAAGTTTGAGAAAAGGCCATGTTCTTTGTCCTTACTGGAGATCCATGTTAGCCTAATGAAATCTTTGAGAAATCCTGAGGTTAAGAATTCTTTTAAAACTTTGTCTTACCTAGTAATTCCCACTTTGGGGATCACACACACACACACACACACACACACACAGGACAGCTTGACATCGTGCTCTGAATAATACAGGATGAGAAATCTTGGATTAGATCTAATGTATTTTAGATCTAAACTTTGTAAGGTTGGACTGGTACCTCTGTGTCACTTTTGTATGTTAGCAGTTTATAGTGAGAACTTGGCTTATACTATGCTTTGAGTTCCTGAACCTTATCTTTGAATTCCTAGTGAAGGGAAATTGATTGGTTCAGGAGATGGTAGTAATTAAGAAAGCTGGGGGGGGGGAAAAAAAAGAAAGCCTGGACTATGCTATTCCTGCCTTCCTCTGAGGCATCACCTAAGAATCTATTATATTGTCTTTATAAAAATGACTTTATTTATGTATTCACTTTTGGCGTGCGGGGTCTTCGTTGCCGTGTGGGCATTCCTCTCTTGGAGCAGTTGCGGCGAGCGGGGACTAGTGTCCAGCTGCAGCGCACAGGCTTCTCGTTCCGGCGACTCCCCTGGTTGGGCCCGGAGCAGGGGCTGTAGGCATGCAGGCTTTAGCACTTGTGGCCCGTGGGCCAGTGGTTGTGGCTGCCAGGTTCTAGAGCGCAGATGCAGCAGTTTTGGTGCACGGGCTCACTGCTCCGTGGCACGTGGGATCTTCCTGGATCAGGGATTGAATTGTGTCTCCTATGCTGGCAGAAGGATGCTTTTCCACTGAGCCACCCAAGGAGCCCTATTATAGTGTCTTTGCAGAGATCTGCGTAAACTTTCAGCATAGGTTTCTACTTCTCTCTTCTGGAATTTGCAACCCAGGAATTATGACATAAACTAATTCTTAACTGCCAAAACATCTAAAAAATCTTGCAAAGATTCTAAAACTAAATGTCTTTTCTTTATTATTTTTTCTCCGTCATTCTTACTCAGATCTGTTCTTGACACTGGTGAGATGGTTCTTGGATTCATTTATACACAGAACCTCAATTTATAGACTCTCTTTGAAAAGTCTGTCTTTTAAAAACATATATTGCTTTCCCTCAGGCAACTTATTGAAGGAGACAGTCCATTTCACTATGTTGACTTTTATCTTATAGGGTACTTATAGCCAGTTTGTATTAAGATCCTAAACTAACTTGTTTTTTCTGAGTCAGCCAAAATTTGTTACAAGTTACATTTTAAAAATTGTTAAGACTCAAAGATTTAATATAAATGAGTATATTCACTAGGTCTAGGTATGAATCATGGATACCGTAGACACAAATCTCACAAAACACATTAAAAAAAAAATTATGAAAGGAAAACAAAATCACCATCACTGAATTATCATCAACAAGATCAGGTAGTTGTTACCCCAAATGTTCTTATAATTCAAAGATTAAACCATAAAAGAGGGTTTTACTAAATATATTATTTAAATCTCACTTTAAAATACAAAGTGCTATCTCATGATTGTGCTTTAATGAGTTCTGTTGTCATTATGTCATTGGAGATGGTGTACACTATCTGGGAAAACTTTTGTAAAACATATAGGCATTTGTATTGGTTTTAGAATGTAGTCCTTCTGTGCAGCCCTGGGAAAGAAATATAGATGATCCCTTGTAAATTAAAACCTTATGTTTCTTTAAAGAGGCCTCTCTGATTTGCTAAGATGTGGGGAGCCGAGTTTGGAATCATTTTGGTGCAGAAAGAAATTTTTAAGAGAACGAGTAAAACTTCTACTTCTGTAAGCAAGCATGTCTGCTTTCCCTTCTGGAGGACTTGACATTTTTTGTCAAGGGAGGGATTGGGAATAATATTATAGAGATTTTAAAACCATAGACTTATCAAATTAGGTTTCTTGTTTCTTTGTTTGTTTACTTGTTTCTTAGTTTAACCTGAAATCCTCTGGCTAAAGATAACATGTAAATTAATCCATGGTGTCTAAAGTATTAGTAAAATTTCTTCTTAAATTAACATCTTTGGAATTAAGATTAAGAGCAAATGGAACAAGGAGCCAGGTGTTTTCATTTAGATCCAACATTTCTTTGGACAGAGTAAAGCAAAGCGCTGGGTTGTTTGTACTTTATGAGACATCTAAAGTGAAAGAGATCCTAATACACGAAAAGAACTGGAAAAGAACCATTATTTTCTCATGAAAGTTGTCGTGTCTTAGTACTTGACTTAATCTTTGCAACATCACCGATGAAGGTAGCAAGATGATGACTCTCGATTCAGATGCAGAGATGGAGGTTCAGATGCGGGGAGGCTTGCTCACCTTGCCTGTCATCATGGGAACCAAAATTCAAATGCAGCTGCTACACGCATTACCACAGCAGTGCAGCCAGGGAAACAAGATTCCACAGCTTCTGTGACCTGATTAAATCAAGTTCATTAGAAAGAGACTCACAGGGGTGGTGGGAAGGGGAGGGATAGTTAGGGAGTCTGGGGTGGACATATACATGCTGCTATATATTTTAAATGGATAGCCAACGCGGCCCACACAGCACAGGGAGCTCTGCTCAATCTTCTGCGGCAGCCTGGATGGGAGGGGCGTTTGGGAGAGAATGGATACATGTGTGTGTATGGCTGAGTCCTTTCTACTGTTCCCCTGAAACTATCACAGCATTGTTAATTGGCTACATCTAAATACAAAATCAAAAGTTCAAAAAATAAATAAAGCTCATTAGAAAATCCAAAATTCTGCCTAGAATCTAGCCCTCAGACAGTTATTTGGATGTTTTAGTATAAAGGACATCAAACACTACAGGTGACTGTCACGTGGCCATTTCTTGTACCCACCCATGATAAAACCCAAGAAATAACAGTGCATTTTAGTTGAGGGAAGGTGTTCCATAAAGAGTCAGAAAAATAGATTCAAAATGCAGCTTTCCTGTGATCTGATCTGATCCATGGATAGACCTTTAGGGGATATACTCACCATCCTTACATTTATTTTGCATCAGAAGAAAAGCTTGGACACTGGGGTATTCTTTGTGCTCAAAAAAAATAGGCCCCTGCATTTCTTTTATCATGGTGAGTTTTCCTGCTTTCCCAAGGCTCAGTTTTCTCATTTATAAAATTAGGATGATAATCTAACAAATACCCATTAGATTATATAGCTTACTGGCTTTTGCATGCTGTAATTCAGATAACAACAGAGAAGCATGCACATTTATATTTAAAAGGTATTAATCAATAGGCAACTGCATTTGGTAAAATGCCTCAGCATATTGATTTTAGGAATCTCTGCATTATTGATCTGATAAGTTGAAATGCAGTCGGGATCCATTTAAACCAAGGGCTTTTCTTTTCAGCTCTCAGGCCTTCTCAGTTCTCTCAAGAACAGAACTGAGAGAAGTCCCTGTCTACACGGGCTTGAGAGCTTCCCCTCGGGGCCCTGCAGTGTGTGAAGTTCATACGGGATTCTGTTTGCTGCGGGCTCTTCAGATGAACACAAACTTTTTGCTTAGAAAGAAGAAATTAAATTTTGCCATCAGTAAAATCTGATAGAGGGATTTCCCTGGCAGTCCAGTGGTTAAGGCTTCACCTTCCAAGGCAGGGGGTGTGGGTTTGATCCCTGATCAGGGAGTTAAGGTCCCACATGCCTCATGGCCCCAAAACCAAAATATAAAACAGAAACAATATTGTAACAAATTCAGTAAAGACTTTAAAAATGGTCCACTAAAAAAACCTGATGTTTGAAAATTATGCCCACAGATCAAGTTTGGATCTGATGATTTTTTTAAATTTATTTACTTTTAATTGGAGGATAATTGCTTTACAATATTGTGTTGGTTTCTGCCATACATCAACATGAATCAGCCATAGTATACATATGTTCCCTCCCACTTGAAATCCCCTCCTACCTCCCTCCCCATTCCACCCCTCTAGGGTGTCACAGAGCCCTGATTTGAGTTCCCTGAGTCATACAGAAAATTCTCACTGGCTGTCTATTTTGCATATGGTAGTGTATATGTTTCCATGCTACTCTCTCCATTTGTCCCAACCTCTCCTTCTGCCCCATGTCCATAAGTCTGTTCTCTATGTCTGGGTCTCCATTGCTGCCATGCAAATAGGTTCATTAGTACCATCTTTCTAGATTCCATATATATGCATTAATATATGATATTTGTTTTTCTCTTTCTGATTTACTTAACTCCACAATAGGCTCTTGGTTTGTCCACCTCATTAGCATTGACTCAAATGTGTTCCTTAGCTGAGTAATATTCCATTGTGTATATGTATCACATCTTCTTTAACCACTCATCTGTTGATGGACCTCCAGGATCTGATGGTTTTGATATGGTTAATTTGCCCTTTTGCCCCATTGTTTCCCTTCAAATCCATTATTTTCTGAATGTTCCATGTACCTATTGCAATATAGCAAACCACCCCAAATGTAGTCG